CGCCTTGGTCAAAGACGAAACGGACTGGTTCAAATTCGACGATAGTCAAAGTTAGTGTTATGGCGATGCTCCAATAAATTGGAGCCTCTGGAGAGGTGAATAAGCAAATGCGCCACTGGAATCAATGGAGTCGCTGCGGAGCGCCAATTAATTTTCATTGTTTTTTATAATTTCATGATTTGCATTTTGGAAGTTACTGAATACTAACTCCAAGAGTCATTCATAGAAGATAACAAGATAACATTCGACCTGATGTTTCATTTGTGTGTTATCTGTTTTCGGTTTCCGGGGTGAAAACAGGAAAAAACAGCATCATTGCATTCTTAGATCAAAGGTGAGATTTTTCGAAAACCAGCACATATCATAGTAGCTGAAAATTGAAACCGGACTCCAAAAACGAAGCATTTGTGATTCAATACCAAGCATTCAGCTCTGTTTCGACTCGCCATAGGTCTCATCAGAGGTGCTGAACTGAACTACGTACGCATTGCTGAACTCAATGTACTTGAAGGACAAACCTCAGCAAGTGTAGGCTATGGTATCTCTCCTCATAAAGAGGCTACCTATCGAATCTATAGAAGTGTCAATCCAAGAATATTAAATAATAAACAAAGCAAATAAGTTTCTCTAAGATGGGCATTTGCGAAACCAAGTTTCGACATCGCCGAACAATCTTCGTCCTCTGCTTTTTACTGCAGCTTTCACTGCAAGGCAACGAGCAACGAGCTGAAAGTAAAGCACAAAAAGCAAGGCATAACGACACTGTCTCCTCAAGAGACTGTATCATCATGCCAAGATCAGTTAGGTTGTCGAACCACAGAAGGCGCGTTTATAAGATTGCAGTTACTTCGAATCTGAATGGGCATATGCTACATGGGCTGGTCTTATTACATTCACCACTTTTCCAGTTATTACTAACCTTCAAAAGAAAGCTGTTGAAATTTCATGATATTCTACTCAAGATATTGTGAGTTATTGTGCAGAGAGTGACACTATTTTTGTTATTTTCAAAACAATGAATCAAAAACAATTTCGTGTTTTAATTTTACACTGCTTTTTGAAGACAAAAATACTGTTCAAGCAAATCAATGGTTGGAAAATTGTTATAAGTACTCCGCTTTATCAGAAATAACAATTACACGTTGGTTTGCTGACCTCAAACGTTGTCGTAGAGACACCGATGATGCAGAACGCAGTGGACGTCCAAATGGATTTATATTTGGATTTGAAATGCGGAGAACCCCAGTGTTCCATTTTGCGGCCATTGATTTTTGCTATATATACTTCCTGTCTAGTGAAAACGCTTCAGATTTGAAGTGTACACTTGTATGCGGATGATACTCAATTTATTATAGTTTTCTCCCCAGTACGGTAGTGGAGTCATGTGACCTTATAAATGAGAAACTTGATAGGTTCATTAAAGTTGTCTTAGTATTAATTACACTCAATCTAATGTTATTCTTTTTGGCAACAAAAACAAATGAGATAAGATTTCTGATAGTGTAAATATTGTAATAAAAAATGAAGTACCTCAAAACGTAAGTGAAGTCAAAAGTTTAAGAATAATATTGGACTTCAATTTTAAATTTGAAAAATACATAAATCAGTTTATTCAACGTGCATACTCCTAAAACTATATATGGCAATAGATATTTCCTTCATATTCGAATAAAATCAAATTTGTGTAATTTGTTTGAGTCATTAATACTGTTCATATTTAATTATGCATATGAACTGTATGGTCCATTCTTGTCCAGCCAATATCAAATAAAAATACAAAAAGTACAAAACTGATGCTCACGATTAATATTTGGTATCCGCAGAAGAAAACATGTTTCACACAAATTGAAAGATAATGGTTGGCTAAATATGAGCAATAGAAGGAGATTACATAACGCAGTGGACGTTCAAATGAGGCAGTAACACCAGAATACATAAAAAAATCCAAAAAATCATTTAGAACGATCAAAAAGATGCGTGAGTTAGCTGACATTGTACGAGTAAAGATATCAAAAGAACGTGCATGTAACCCAAACTATCAATGAAACGGCCACGGAGTCATTATATTTAGTTAGCTATCGCATTGCACAAGCAGGTAAAGCGCAGACTATCGCTGAGATTTCAATAAAACCATGTGTGTTAGACATAACAAAATGTATGCTCGATGAAAAAACTGCAAAGCATCTTTCTACTTTGCCGCTAATCAAACGATACGATTCATGATCTGACATCTTGTTAAACAAGAACTAGTTACACGTCTACAAACAGCACGATTCGTGTTGTAAATGGATGCGTCGATTGATATAGCTGGTCTGGCTATCTTGCTGGTTATCATGAGATATCCATATGAAAGTTCTTTTGAAGAAGACATGCTTATGTGTTCACTGTTGCTCATAAAAACCACCGAAGAGAACATTTTTAATTAAATAGGTTAACATATTTTTTGGAAAAAAACATCTCAGTTGGAACGATTGCATTGACATTTGTACAGATATGGCGATGAAAGGTAAATCAGCAAGAGTATTGTCACGAATAAAAAATGAAGCGCCTAATTGTAGTTCCAGTCAATATATACTGCCCCCCATGCCCCCTCCTGGGTTGAGTGCCCTGAGATGAAATCTTCCCCACACGGTTACTGTGTGCAGAACATCCCATTTCGTCCATCCACCCCCGCTCCTCCGGAGCGGTCCTCAACTTACTGATGGGCACTTTAGCAAGATTGACATGTGACCTAATGCTGTCGAAAGCCGGCCTTTATGTGCTTTTACTTTCTATATCCTGCACAGACAAATACTTGGGATGAAGCAAATGCCCTCAAATCCCGATTGTTCTCATTATCATGTGAAGATTATGACAGCAAACATAAGATACTTATGCTCTATACAGACGTGCGATGGATGTCCCGAGGTGGAACTTTATTAAGGGTATTCGAACTTTAGAATACTTCTTTCAATTTGAAAAGCCGTTTGTATGACAAAACTTGGACTTTACGACTGTCTTCAATGGCGGATATCTAAAAAACTGAACGAATTAAATTTATCATTGCAAGGTAAACAGACAACAGTGTTCCAGGTCTGTAACAAAACAACTGCCTGCGAAAGAAAATTAGATTTTTATATTATTTGCGTTGGAAAGAGGAAAATAGAAACCTTAACACGTAGAGTGCCACCACGAGAAGACCGTTTAGCAGTCCCTACTGGCCACAATTTTTTTTTTCAGGTATAAATGTTAAAATGCATATACGTAAAGAAAACTCAAATAGTTACCCCAAAATTCATTTATTTTTGTAAAAATGCGATAAAAAAATTGGTGGACACCATTGACCCACCGCGGTCTTAATCACTCGAACTTTCAATATGGCCACGGTGGGCATGCGTGGGCGACATCAGCTGGTGTATTCACGTCAATTCTTGCTTAGTTTAGGCGGCGTAGTCGTTGCAATAAGTCGTATTATATGCATATACAAGTTGTAATTGTTTGGTATAAGTAAGTTTGTTGGATTAAAAAAAATGTCTTACGAAAAAGATCAGGAAAAACTTAAAAAATTGTGGAATGATGCGCTATCTGATGAGTCGGATTTTTCACCAGATGTTTCCGAGTATGAACCAAGTGACTCAGATTCGGACTCCGATGAGTTCGTAGTACCAAAAAAATGTCGGCGAGCAGTTCAAAGCAAGGACATGGTATCCACTAGTTTCCAGCCCCAGACATTTGAAGCAGTGCGAAGACCATTAGAAGTAAAACTTCAAATTACTCCTGGTAATGAACCTAATAACTTTGATCCTAAAGTATATGAGAATGAGAATGAAATTGAGAGAACTATTGAGGAAGTAATTATGCAGAACACGGTTTTTCTCGAATCTGATTCTGAAGAAAATTTGCCAGTTGAAGAAGTGTTAGGCAGGGTGGATTGGGGACCTGTTACCGGAAATAATATGAAACACTTCATATTCTCTGAAAACAATCCAGGAATTCATCATTTTTTATATGATGATTATCAAAAAACCCCATATGACTTTCATAAATATGTAATTTCTGATGATATATTTGAGTTATTCGTAATCGAAACGAATCGATATGCTGCACAAGAGAAAAGCAGGGGACGTCCGAAATCTCGCATACAAAATTGGAAAGACACCACACAAGATGAGATGGAAAAATTTGTAGGATGTATTTTGTGGTTGGGACTTATATCCTTGCCTTCAATATCTTCATACTGGTCAAAAAACTTCATTTATACAAATGGACTTTCACAGGTAATGCCAAGAAACCGTTTCCAATTACTTCTAAAAACCTGGCATTTTGCTAACAACGAAGCTGTTTTAGAGAACGACGACAGGCTGCATAAAATAAGTCCACTTTTATCGAAACTTAGAAAACATTTTCAAATGCCGATAATACCAGGAGAGTTTCTGTGCATCGATGAAACCCTGGTTCCCTTCAAGGGGCGAATAAAATTTAAACAATACATTAGCAATAAAAGGTACAAATTCGGTATAAAATTATTCAAATTATGTCTAGAGGGCGGATATTTATATGATTTGAAAGTCTACTGTGGACAGGAAAGAAATGAAGTCGAAAATCAAACTGTTCCAACAAAAGTCGTAACTGATTTGACCAAGGAATTACTTGGTAACTACTATACATCTGTGGAACTAGCTCAAGAATTGTTGATAAATAAAACTTACATATTAGGTACACTACGCAGCAATAGAAAGAACAATCCCAAAGATGTTATCAATAAAAAACTTAAAAAGGGTGAAGCTATTTCAAAGGAAAGTAACAACAGAATTTTTGTTGAAAAGTGGAAAGATAAACGAGATGTCCTGATGTTGACTACAAAGTATGTACCGGAAATGGTGACTGTACATAAACGACGAGGAGACATTATGAAGCCTAAGTTTGTCATTGAGTACAATAAACATAAAAGCTACATTGATATTTCGGGTAAGTCATATTTATAAATTATATTTCGTTTTGTAACTATTGAAATTTTCAGACCAAATGAAGGCGTGGGGTCAAATGGTACCGGAAACTTGCCACAGAGTTAGTAGGTGGTGCAGCAATTGTCAATTCTCATTGGCTTCATCAGCGGGTCAGAAACAATAAAATGTCTATAACTAAATTCCGAGAGGAGATTATGAAAGGTTAGGAGATATTTCCCTCTTAGTGATTTATCTACATTTATAATGATATGTATCACAAATTTGCAGGTCTCCTAAAACGTGCCATATTGCCCGATAATTTTCCCGATTCTGATACTGATCACAAGTTATTTGAAGCCGATAAAAGACAATTGTGTTCTCACTGTTATCAAAAAAACGTCACGGAAATGGGAAGAAATTCAGCAAAGAATAAAACAAAGAAGACAAAATATCGTTGTGAAGCGTGCAACAAACATGTTTGCTTCGAATGTTTTTTCGAAATACACAGTTCGAAATTAAAATAAATGAACATTTTTAGTTAGCTTTTTGTTTTTATGATATTTGTTGTAAGAGCTATTTGATTATTGACGCTCAAAAACTAGTTACAGTTACCTCAAATTTCTAAATTATTTTGTACTGATATTTTGACTCTGGTGGACAATGTTGGCCACCAGCATAAAAACCAAATACGACGAAATTTTGCTAAAAGCATCTTAGTTCGTTCCCTGCATATTTAGCATGGCTCTGGTGGACGACGCAAGCCCACCGAGGCCAGAAGTTACAAAGTGCATGGTGGATAATATCGACCCACCGCGGCCAGTGTAGATTTATTTTTTCTCCTCAGCTGGTGGACATCGTTGACTCACCATGGCACTCTACGTGTTAACGTTACTTAGTGAGTTTGTTAACGATAGCGACTCAGAAATGTTTCAAGATGATTCATTTGAAGAATTGGTCCAATATCTCTCTTTGATGCGCTTTGAGAAGCATTTTTCCGAAGAATAGAGTGCAAAAATGAAAATGAATTCATGGATTCGAAAGTATGTCAAACGAGATATATGAGTATCTTTTAGAAATGTCATCAGACACAAGTATGGAGTCATTGCTGAAACGAGGCCTCTCAAAGATTTTTGGTGCAGAATCCGTGACGAATATCCAATGTTTGCCAAAATGGATCTGAATATTCTCCTCCCGTTCTCAATAACATATTTCTGCGGAACAAAATTCTCAACCTATGCAGCCACGAAAACAAAATACCGCAATAGACTGGACAACAAACCTCATATGAGACTTCAACTGTCTTCTATCCTATGTAAGTAAGTAACAAGTAACTATAACATTGTAGTTTTACTATGGTCGTTGATGAGGGATACACTTTTGAAAACTATTGTTTTATTGTAGGGTCAAGAATTTTGCTTTACATAAGGGTTCCGTCACAAAAAAGTTTGAGAACCGCTGCATTACAGTATTTTACGAAAATTTTTAGTTCGTGAATCTTCATTTACCTTATTCCCAGACCTAGTTTGTGAAGTTTCTCTCAAAGTAATGTTAGGTTGAGTCAAAAGTTATTTGTAATCACCAAATGAAGCAAATAGTTTCTTTTTTTATATCCAAGATGGACCTGGAATGCACAACAAAGAGTGGACATAATATCCATGCATTCATATGTTTTTAGGAACCTCGATTGACTTTCCAGGATTATTTCTGTGCAGTCGGGAAAAATCTCACACTGAAGTGCAATTCGAACTGAGTGAAAATTTTTGTCCTCATGATTTCAATACTTCATTAACTCTGCTCCTAGATTGAAATCCAGGAACATTCAATTCCCGACTGAGCTTTCTTGGTTTCCTTTTGAAATCTTATTCAATTTATACTTAGTTTCATAATAATTCCGCACTCATAAAACACTCAAGTCAAGTTATTCCGCCCCGTGAACATCAAAAAGGAAACAAAGAGGCGTTCTAAAAACAATTTAAAATCACTTTGCAACACTCTTTCCGAGAATTACACCAAAATTACGAAACAAAAGACAATTTCACAAAACAATCCAGAGTTTCTGTGAATTTGGAGGATATAAGGGATTGTATTGAAGTTCTCAAACTGATACAAGGGATACTTTAAGGCCTTTTAAGACGCGTATTAAAGTTGACTGCAACTTAATCTTTTCACTGTCAGCGGGTCTCGGAAATGTGGAGCTCGGATATTTTTCTGACACATTCTCCCCAAACTTGTACTATTGAGTGCCGTATTAGACCAGGCAATGTGAGCATATGTTTTTTTCAATGGCTGGAAAAATATACTTTGGCACTCCAACACCAACTTTTATCAGGAATCGGGAATGAATTTTGGCTTAGATAAATTCGGCAAGGGTTGACAACTACACATATACCAGTAGAGAACGAAAACCTCAATTCTTCCTTTTGTGCAGGTGGAAAATAATTGAAAGATAATGGGTGACATATATTTGCAAATAATATTCCGCATGAGTGGTATCTTCTTGACAACACTGTTTTTGACGAGTACGATGACAAAAGACAAGAGTAAATCGTGTCTTTTGTCATCGTCAAACTTGTACAGTTTGGTCTATAATGTAACCATGAATCGACTTACGAATGAACAACGCTTGCAAATTATTGAATTTCATTATCAAAATTCATGCTCGGTGAAGAAAGTGCATCGTGCACTTCTTCCAATTTATGGGCAGTTTCGTCGGCCTACTGAGGGAGCTATTCGGAAGCTTGTGACTGAATTTCGAACCCAGTTTACATTATTGGACATTAAACCACTAACACGCATACGTAGAGTGAGGACCGAAGAAAATATTGCGACTGTATCCGCCAGTGTTCGTGATGACCGTGAAATGTCAATTCGCCGCCGTTCGCAGCAATTGGGCCTCTGTTACTCCACTGTGGAAAATTTTGCGAAAGGATTTGGGTGTAAAACCTTATACTTATGTCTACAGGGATAAACCAGCAACGACTGACGTTCTGAAAGCCCATATTGAAGCATCTATATGTGAAAACCCATTTTTTGTGTTGTTTTGAAAATTAAATCCTATACCTCTCAAAAAATCACCCGTTATTTGCAAATAATATTCTGCATATAACTGTTCCGATGCAGTCTCGCTATTCTTATCATGTAAATCATTAATCAGATAATCCACGATGATGCCTATTTTGGGTTCATTTGACAAGAAATTCTCAAATGTTTTTGCTCGTTCACAACGAGATTACCATTGCTCAAAAGATAACTGTTTACAAGAATTGTCGCAATATTGCATGATATCGTTGACATTGAAAGTAACATTTTTATTTGCAACGAATTTTTTCAGTCCAGTACAAAACAATTCAATTGGATTTGAATCCGGGTGATATGGTGGCAATGATACAACGTTTTGATTTGCTGCTACAAAGAGCTGACCTATTTCATACCGCTTAAATTTTGGCTTGTATAATATATCTTCATAAGGGCATATACTTCAGGTTTGAGCATGTTTTTTTCCTAATAGAATATTCGTCTCTGATAACCATGATTGCATGTCGGCTTTTTCGATGGATGTAGTTGGTATTTTGTCGATATGTTTATTATATGGTGCATTATCGATTACCACAACGCTTTTCAACAGCAATCAACTGTTCCCACTTATCATTGTTAAAATTCATCTCGTTGTGATAATCACCTCAATTATAATTCGATTTTCATTCAAGGTAAGCATTAGGCACGAACACATTTTATATATGATGGAATTGGCCGATTCTTGATGAAAATCCATGATGTATTCAAAAAAAAACTTTATTGTGAGATTTTCGCTGAACAGTTTTACAAAAAGGTAACACGTATTTCGCCATACAATGGCTTCTTCCGGCGTGTCTTAACTAACTATATTTTACATATGAAATGCTTAATATACCAAATTTTACACCTGTATTTCAAGTACCTGATTTTTACCAAGTTTGTAATGAATTAAATTACCTGAGCTCGTCCCAGTTTCCACATTTAACAATTCTAATTGATCATTCACACGTTAAAAGATAAGACCTCGTTAATCCTTGCTCGCACAAGTTTCGACTTCTGAGGGTTGTCGTTTGTAGGGGTGCGACAGCTGGTTAGCGAAAAAACAGATTTTTTGAACAGACAGATTCAGTAAATTACCTCCGAATTTCTGAATCTATTGATTTCTAAACATTCTAGAAGATGGAGTTTCAAACTCTCCTCTCCTAAATGTAACACGTCGTATTCATGATTGAACTCGTTTCCTTCTGCTAAGAGGTGGTTGGCAAATGTAAAATTGGTCTTTCTCTTTACAAAACTACTTCTATGTTCTCCAATTCTTTGGAAAAATACTCTCCCTGTTTGGTCAGTATACAGTTTTGGGCAAGAGCCATAAGTCAGATTATATACTCCTGATCTGTTCGACAACGAAGTTTTGTTTATTGTTTTTAATACATTTATTTAGACTATTATTAGTTCTGTGAGCTACGTTTACGCATTCTTTCTTCAAAAAACGGGCAATATTATTGGTTGGTTCACCCAAATATGACAATGTCCTATAACTGACGTTATCGCATCCCAAATTCAAGATGCGATAATGTCAGCGTAATGCGTAATAATGACCAATGGCCAATGCGTAATAATGACCAGATTCAACGCCGGGATCACAGTGAACAATGATTGCATGAAGATTATAATAGTGGTCTGCTAGATTGAAATGTTCATCTATTTCGAACCTTCGTAAGAGTTTGGTGCTTCCGTCAGAGGTTGAGTCATGTTTGAAAATCATCAGTGTTATTATAATATATAGTTATATATTATATATACTATAGTTTTGTTATAATAGTCGATTAGTTTGGCGCATGTTTGGTAATACAGTTGATCATCAACTGTCAAAAGTTCCATTTTCAGATGATTTACCAATAAGCTTTGCACGGACTAATTATCACTCATATTAGGAAACGCTAGTAGAAGTTCCAGAAAATCACATACCTACATTTTTGGTACCTTTCGAACATTTACTACAAAGTAAATAAGTGGGGATTTTTTCAGAAAAATATCTAAAAACACAAGACGAGATACGGAATGATTCAATGCAGAGCAGCTCACGAAGAGTATTCAACAAGAACCCCAGGAATTCGAAGTAATCCTCCTGTTGTCCCAACGAGTATCTAGTAGACTTCAAAGACTCCAGGAAATCAGTTGGTGATAAAGATGATACATTCTTACGAAGCTGCAACTGCATGAACATTTGTTTGAGTTTGGTAAATGAGTAGGAACCATTCTCATTCTCTTTCATCGTTAAAACCTCGTCTTGAAATTCTTCGTCATGAACAACACATGTAAAATGCAATTCATGTAGCAATTACCTACACCTGAGTTATCCAATCCAATTTTCTTCTCAAGATTTTCAGCACAAGTGTCTAGTGATTCGTAAGGAAGAACATGTTTCACAGAATCTGTATCAGAATAATTTCTCAGACTGCAATAGATCCTTCCTTGACATAAAATTCCACATTAACTGCAGGAAGCATGTTTGAAGTCTATTCA